CAATGGACATTTGGGCTCTTTCCATAATTGGCTACAGTAGTTAATTTTTTTATAAACATCAGGGTGCATGTATCCCTTCAAATTAGTATTTTTGTATCCTTTGGATAAATACCTGGCAATGCAATTGCTGAGTCGTAGGGTAGTTCAATTTTTAATTTTTTGAGGAACCTCCATACTGTTCTCCAGAGTGACTGCACCAGTTTGCATTCCCACCAACAGTGTAAGAGGGTTTCCCTTTCTCTGCATCCTGGCCAACACCTGTTGTTTCTTAATTGTAGCCATTCTGACAGGTGTGAGTTGATATCTCATTGTAGTTTTGATTTGTATTTCCTTGATGATGATTGATGTTGAGCATCTTTTCATGTGTCTCTTGGCCAACTGTATATCTTCTCTGGAAAAAAACATATCCATTCATGTGTTCTGTACATTTTTTAAGTGAATTATTTGGTTTTTGGGTGTTGAGTTTTGTAAGTTCTTTATATACTTTGAATACTAACCCTTTATCAGATATGGCATTCACTCTCACTTCCTAATCCACCATCTTATCCTCACTGCAAACAAGCCAGCCACTTTGTTCATGAAAGGAAGTGCTTCAACTTCCTCCATGCCTTGACCTTTTCTTCTTTCTCAAATCTAGCTGTGTCTCCTGAGTCCAAATTTATGATCCTCTCTGTGTCTTGTATTCCATTTCTTCCTGACTTTTTAAGATCCTCAGAAATTCTTTATCTTGCCTGGGTCCTCAACTTTCCTTTTTTTTCTGTCTTCTAGTTGTCCTTCTCTTCACCTGGCACCTTTCCTTGTGTGTGGCCAAGCCTCACCCCTGCCTCCCTTCACCCTACATTGCTGTGAACTGTGACCGCTAAACTGGGAAAGAAGTCTACACAGTGTCCCACTTCCTTGCCATCCCACTCACTCCTGGTTTTCCTTCTGACAATCCGAGCAGCTCTTCGCAGCCTCCTCTGAAGGCTCATCTTCCAGGAGTTTATTTCTCCAGCTTCTCACCACGGTGTTCTTGAACTTCTATGCTTTTTCACATGCCCTCACCTTTGCTTGGAACATCTTGCTCTCCTTTTATGTCTTAAACTCCTGCACCTTTTGCCAACGCTAGGGTCGGCTTTCAGCATCCATGCAGCCTCTGCCTGAGTCACCAGAAGTTTGGTTCCTTTTTCACTTTCTTGTGTCATCCTCTGCTTCCTTTTGCTCTTCCACACACATTGCATGCAATGCCACATTTAATACCTACAACAGCTCTTTGAGGCATCTGTATCTCACGTATACAGATGAGAAAGCAAACCCAGATACATTAAGTAACTTTGCTCAAAGTTATAGGAGCATTAAATGAAAAGTACAGGCTTGAATCCAGGTGGTCCTATTCTAGAACCATTATGTTTAACAACCCTCCACCTCCATGTTCCACCATTAGCCTCTGAGTTTGTCAAATGAATTAATGAGTGTTAGGGGTTTTTTTTTTTCTTTAAAAAAATGGATCAAAATTAAACAAGTTTAAATTTCATGGCATAGATTTCCAAAACTGCCAAGGCAACACTGACCTAAATAAGGCCATGATATTCTCAAGAAGAAAAAAAGTAAGTTTGGGGATGATAATAATGATATATAGGGACACCTGGGTGACTCAGTGGGTTAAGTGTCTGATTTTTGATTTTGGCTTAGGTCATGATCTCACTGTTGGTGAGTTCAAGTCCCGCATGGCGCTCTGCACTGTCGGCGTGGAGCCTACTTGGGATTCTCTGTCTCTTGCTCTCTATGCCCCTCCCATCCTCCCTCACTCTCAAAATAAATAAACTTAAAAAAGATAATAATAATAATATGTAATAAGTTTAGGATTCAAAAAGGTCTTTGGTGTATATCATCTCATTTTATCAACTTATGAAATATATTATGATTCCATTTTACACGTGGTGTATCTGAGGCTGGAGTAACCAGCATCAAGTTGTATTTTGTGTCTTCTGAACTACTGGCCTTCAAGTCTGCGCTGATATGGAAGAGTAAATTGGGAGTATGTAGGCTCTTTAAAAGAAAAAGTAGGAGAGTTTTACACTATTATTAACTACTTATTTATGCAAGATTTCTAACGGTGTAGGCGATCAATTTCTAGAACAAAAAGGCTACACCCAAGGATGCCATAATCTTTTGGGAGTTCCACTGTAAGTGTCAGAGTTTGTCTATACCTGTCTAAAACCTGTTCTTGGAATAAGTCAACCTCCATGTCTGTATGCAGTTCATCAGGGGATGTTTTAATATGGTTCCTTCATCCATTTCCTTACACAACAGCCCAGTATATTGCCCAAGAGTTAAATGAGTTCTTTTTTTTTTTTAATGTTTATTTAGAGAGAGCTATAGCACAGGTGGGGAGAGGGGCAGAAAGAGAGAGAGACACAGAATCTGAAACAGGCTCCAGGCTCTGAGCTGTCAGCACAGCCAGATGCGGGTCTTGAACTTGGGAATGGCAAGATCATGACTCGAGCCAAAGTCAGACGCTTAACTGACTGAACCACCCAGGCATCTCTTAATGAATTGGATGTAGGATTCCATTGTTGAGTGTTTGAAGAATTTCTGAATTCCCTAAAAGTTACATTCAGAAATACATGTGCAAATGAACTCACTAGTTTATTTTTTTAAGTTTAGTTACTTATTTTGAGAGACAGAGAGAGAGCATGGGTGGGGTAGGGGCAGAGAGACGGAGGGAAATTTTTAAGCAGGCTCCACAGGGTCAACCCAGAGCCCAATGTGGGGCTCAAACAAACAAGACTGTGAGATCATGACCTGAGCCGACATCAAGAATCAGATGCTTAAGCGACTGAGCCACTCAGGTGCCCCATGAACACACTAGTTTTAAAAAGTACTGCATACTTTATTTTTTGAGGAGAGGGTCTATAGCCTTTAACAGATTCTCAAAGGCTTACCTCCCCTACAGCAAGATCAAGAACCATTTTTTGGTGATGGAAGCTAATTTTGATACTGGTCTAACAGCCAGATACATTATAAGGGAAATCTGTTCCCTCATTCTCATTACCACAACTACTGTTTTCCCCTTCCCTATCCTACAATACCTTAAGCTACATTAAAAGAATTTTATGGTTTTTTTAAAAATAATTTTATGTTCTTAGCCACAGTTTGAATTTTCCACACCAATATTGCCCAGGTAACTGATAGGTGCCTGGAAAAAAATATAGAAAGCACAGTAATGCATTTTTAATAACAGATTAACATTCCATACGTGTTTTTTAACTGGCATCATTTTATTTTTTTTAAGTAATCTCTAAGCCCAATGTGGGACTTGAACTCATGACTCAGAGATCAGTACTCACATACTCTACCATCTGAGCCAGCCAGATGCCCCTTCATTGGCATTCATGTTTTGCCTGAGCTAACAGAAACTGAAAGTATTCTAGGAGCTTCAGGAAAAGTCACGTAGGGCTTGAAACATGAGTAGAACTGGATTTAAGTAGAGCTGGATTATCTAGTAGTGATATTAGTCATGTGCTTTAAAGCATCAGCAAAGCCTGAGTAATCCAATTTTTAAAAATAATATGTATTACAAAATATATTAGCCACAGGGAAAAGTAATAACCACAGGTAAAATTAGAAACTCACTGAATTTTCTTTTCCTAGCTATATTCTCAGTTCTGTTAAACTTTTTATCAAATACGAGGGTGGTGGAGGGAATTCATGATCTTTTCAGCTATTAAGGTTTTCTTGGCCTTCCCTTGTGTATAATATTGATAATTCTATCCAAACATTTTATTCTCTGTGCCTCACAAGATTGTAAGAGAATCCTCAAAAGGGAAAGTTTAAGAGCTAAGATATTAGCTTAAGATAAGCCGCACTGTTCTAAATGCTTATATGTTCATCAATTCATTTAAAACTCACAACAGCCCTATGAGTAGGGACCACTCTTAGTGTCCAATTTATAACTAGGAAAATTGTAAGGTTTTTCCAGTAGAAAGGAGAGGCGGGAGCGGAGAGGACAGGCCCCAGGACACTGCGTGAGCAGGACACTGCGTGAGCTGGATTTCTGAATCACTAAGCAACTCTGCGAGCACTTTTTCAGTTCTAGGAGTAATCATTTAATTTACAACAGAGTCTAACAGCCCAATGACTCCCTCGCCAGTTTCCTATCCGCTTGTTGGCAGAAATCGCCGTCATCCCTATTAAACAGACCTCATCTTCCCTTATACAAGGCACTAGTACCAGGCATTGCACAAGTCTCGTAAAAAAGAATTCGCTGTCTGCATCCGTTTCACACGTGTGTTATGTAGTGAGCATTGGCTGCTGGCCGGTGGGCCAACTCTCAGAAATGAATGTTTGGGCTAAGGTTTCTGGCGTAATGGACCCAGCACGCAAAACCCAGGTGTTGAGTGCTGGAGGGAGTAGAGGAATCTAACAGTAGGGAGCCTCGGCCGCCTGGGGAGAGGGGGGGTGTTCAGTCAGTTAAGCGGGGTCCAACTGGGCTAGGGTCATGATCTCATAGTTCGTGGGTTCGAGCCTGCTTGGTATGGTGTGTCTCCCTCTCTCTCTGCCCCTCCCCCAACTCTCTCTCTCTCTCAAAAATAAATAAGCATTTTAAAAAATTAAATAAATAAATGTAGGGAAGCCACGTAGTGGTACCAGGGATACCAATCCCGGGCAGGACTCTTATGTCAGAAGATTAGCTGTTTCTTCTGATTAAAATAGGAAGCAGTACTTTGCCTAAGACATCAAACACCCTCGTTCGAAGTTGGCAGTTAGGAATCCTATGCTTTTTCAAATGCGAGGTGGTTGTACAGGGGAAGAAGGGAAACAGGAGAGAAATCTCGCTTTAATCGCGTGAACTCGCTGGGAGACCGCGTGCGCCTCCATTGGGGGCAGGGGGAGCGCAGCACCCAGAGGAGGGCGGGGGCGCGGCGGGCGGCGGGCGGCGCGGGGGGGGGGGGGGGGGAGGGGGGGGGGCTGCAGGGGAGGAGCCCAGGGCTCCCTCTCCCTTGGCTTCGTCCAGTTCCCAGCGCCCGTTCCCCCGGCCAGCCGCAGACCCGTTGACAGCAGAGGCCCCGCGTGGGGCGACTTCACAGGGTGTCCCACTGGCAGCGAATTCCGAGCGGACGGCGCTCCCCTGGATAGAGACGCCCACAGGCGGAGGGGAAGGGCAGAGTCTGGGGGCCGCTTCCGCCAACCGCGAGGAGGAGAGGAGGGGCGGGCTGATCACGAGAGGCTGGGGCGGGCCGCCCGGCGCCCGACCTCGGCAGAAGGAGGGAGGGAGCCGAGGGGCGAGCGCTGGGGAGCAGCATGGAGCCCTCGGCCGACTGGCTCGCGACCGCGGCTGCACGGGGTCGCGCCGAGGAGGTGCGGGCGCTGCTCGCGGCGGGGGCGCCGCCCAATGCGCGGAACCGCCTGGGTCGGAGCCCGATTCAGGTGGGTGAGCCAGCCTGCCTGCCTCGGGAGGAGGGGGTGGCGGGCGCCTTTGGAGCACAAGGTTTGCAAAAGAGTTGGTACCCGGTGAGCGTTGCGACTCTTGGGTCAGGGGAGACTTCCTGGTGTGTTCTCTGGTGGCGTTTTGGGGGTGGGGAGCCCACCCCTGGTCCGAGTGCTGGGGGCTTAGGGAGCCGCGGGAGAAATGAGGAGACCTGTGGGGGTGCAGATCTGTATAATGTGGTAGAGATCTGGAGGGGAGAGCCTATTTGTGTTAATATAGCCCGAGGGATGTTCTTTATCAGATATACAGTTACGAAAGTTTGGGGTAAAAAGCAAGATTTTAAAGAAATGTAAGGTTTGTTGGGCCCACGTAGCTCGGAACTCAGCTGAAGGGATCTGACCGTCTTCCTTGCTACGGGGGGATTGTAGGGGAAACCTCTGCTGTTTAAGTTGAATAAATATCAACTGAAATTATTCAGAAGCAACTATGTATTGTGTTTATTTTAACTTTAACCGAATAAGAAAAATATATGCTTGCAAGAATTTAGAAAATACAGACATATATGAAGAAAAACAGTGTGATCTTGCCTAACATGTTGTCAATTTAGTTACCCTTTTGAGGGTATCCCCTATTATTTTTGTTATTTTTAACTTTGCTCGCTATAGATTAACTTATTTGGAAAAGAGTTTTAAATTCCTCATTGTTCAAAAATGTCTTTTCTCCCTTCTCCAGTTGTGTGTGTGTGTGGGGGGGGAGTATTTGTCGTTTTTGTTTGCCTTCACTAACTTCCTCAATCCAGGCTAAAAATAAAAAAAACAAAAACGATTTCTTCCTGGCAGTCACCAACCTAGTTTTATTACCAGCATCGACAATGATTTCTGATTCTGAAAAATAAAATGTATATGAAACAAAGGCTCATGGCACAGACTCCAGCATAAGGAGACAAAGGAAAGTAATTATACTTGCAATTTCACAGATTTCAGGAGTCCATCTTCCTTTCCTGAAACTATGCTATGTTGGACAAATTTTATGCACTTTAAAATATGAACACAAAAATAAGGGGTGCCTGGGTGGCTCAGTCTGTTAAACCTCCTCTCGACTTTGGCTCAAGTCATAATCTCAGGGCTCCTGAATTTGAGCCTGGCATCTGGCTCTGTGCTGACAGCTGGGGCTTGGACCCTACTTCCAATTCTGTGTCTCCCTCTCTCTCTGCCTCTCTCTCTCTCAGATAAACATTAAAATTTTTTTAATAAAAATAAAATACAGATACAAAAATAAAACCAAAATACCTTAAAATTTGAGATTATTTGGGATTTGTATTGTGGAGAGATTTTGAGAGTACAGAGGTTTTGTGATAATAGAAGAAAAGCATGAGTCCTTTAAAAATAATGCATGCATGATTCCTAATTTGATATCTCTAAAATTTTGCCTGGAGGCTGAATTAGCCTTGAAGGTCTGGAATACGTTAGAAGAGACTTCATTTATTTAAATACAAAAAGAAAAAACAGTTGGATAGTTTTAGCAACTTTTTAAATGGGAAGGATAAAAACATAGAGAAAAGGGGGCATGATTTTGGTTTAGAACCCTAACCAAACTTGTGTTTAATATAAAACTAGTTTATAGAAAAATTTAAAGTTCACATCTTATCAAATGGATTGAACACTCTAAAAATATGTGTTTAATTGATTCTTTTTTTTTTTTTTTTGCTTTGCATTGCTATTTAAATAATTAAGTGTTAGGTTTCCTTTCATATTTGAAAATAATGAAAACATTTAAAATCAATTAAATGAAAAGCGCTTCGTTGGATAAACAATGTTTCATCTGCTATATTTTCACTTGCATCATATATAGACAGAGAGGTTGACGTCTTCTAAGAAGAGGTTTTAGACATGTGTTTCCTAGTTCTGGCAGTAGAGCCCCCAAAAGATTCTGGTCCTTAGGTGTGGCCCCTTTGTTCTGGAAGTTGACCCTATAATCTATTAGAAGTCTTGCATAAATAAGCAGTTAACAGTGTGATAGCTTTTCCAGTTTTCTTTTAAAAGAGTGCATTCTTCTACTTTGTGTAAAAAATGTAAAATATCTTGATGATACTATTTAATATTGATCACATGATAGTATTGAATTTGTTGGGTTAAATCAAGACATTCTTGAAGCTAATTTTACCTTTTTACTATTTTCAGATGTGGTTACTATAAAACTTAAAATTACAAAAAAAATAAAAGTGCATTCTTCTAATGCACTGCAAGTGGTTTTTTTTTTTTTTTGTAGCTGTAATTGGCTTCACTTATATATTCTATCTTTTTGAAGATCAGTTTCACTTTTCTAGGACAAGAATCAACCACCACAGTATAACTTACTATGATTCCTTGGTTTAGAAAAATTAAATAATTCATGTTTAATACACAATGTAACTAAAAATAAATAATTCCTCCTTATAAGTCACTGTTGTGTAGCTAATATAATAATAGTTGCCCTAAAAAATAATTATCTATCACTGCCATCCACCATGAAACAGTTAAATTGTAAGGTTGCTGTGATTGTGGATACTATTTAAAAATTCCTCGTTGGTGATGACTTTGTTTCAAAGATGATTTATGAAACAAATGATGGGAGCACTTCCTATTTAATGAACTCTCAGAGTGTAAACTTGGAAAGTTGCTTAGTTTCCTCTTTCTGCTGTAACAAATTACCACAAATTTAGTGGCTCAAACTTACATAAATTTATTATCTTATAGTTCTGGAGGTCAGGCATCTAAAATGGATCCATAGGGCTGCATTCCTTTTGGAAGTTGTAGGGGAGAATCTATTTCCTTGCCTTTTGCAACTTCCAATGACCATCAGCATTCCTTGACTTGTGGCCCCTGCATCTTTTCTCTGACCTCCATTCTTAGATCTATGCTCTGTGACCTTGTTATAAGGAAACTTGTGATTACCTGATTACCTTTGACCCATCCTGAGAATCCAGATTAATCTCCCTCAAAATTCTTAATTTAATCACATCTGAAAAGTCTCTTTTGCCTTGTCAGGTAATATATTCACAGCTTTCAAATGGACATCTTTGGGAGGCATTATTTAACTTATCACAGGAAGGAATTTGGGGGCTGGTTAGACAAGCCTCATTTTATAATGAAAGAAAGTGAATTTAAACATTCTGTCGTCTGTGCCTCGGGCAGTGCTGTGTGTGTGGCTGGAACCCCACAGAAGTTTAGAGAATATAATGGCATTCAATGTGTACCGAAAAATGGAATGAGTACACTGGAGAACTACCTAAGGGAGTTGGTAACTGAAAGCAAATAGAGAGTAACTAGACACCTGTTGCTTGTACCATGTCTGCACCGGGAGGGGGTTTCACAAATAGTTTCTCTAAATGACTCCTGCCCCTGCCACCTGTCACCGCCCTGACCGCTCTGCTCTCTCCCGCAGGTCATGATGATGGGCAGCACTCGCGTGGCCGAGCTGCTCCTGCTCCACGGCGCGGACCCCAACTGCGCCGATCCCGCCACCCTCACCCGACCTGTGCACGACGCCGCCCGGGAGGGGTTCCTGGACACGCTGGTGGTGCTGCACCGGGCCGGGGCGAGGCTGGATGTGCGCGATGCCTGGGGCCGCCTGCCCGTGGACCTGGCTGAGGAGCGGGGCCACCGCGACGTCGTCCGGTACCTGCGCGCAGCCATGCGGGGCACCGGAAGTGGTAGCCACGCGGGTACAGAGGGTGCGGAAGGCCCAGCAGGTGAGGTAGAAGATTTCTGAGCTGGACCGCAAAGAGCTTCTGCATTCCACTGCACTCCTTTTTCAGAAGAGAAAGTGGCGCCGGGAGAGCAGGGTCTCGGGTCCCGTGTCAGCTCTCACACTGCCACCCTGTATAAAGATGTGTGTCCCAATCGCGCTGCCTTGCCAGGGCTGTGGACAGGAAATAGCCTAGAAGGATTTCTGTACTTTCAAGTCCATCCCATAAACCGTACTCGTATCCCCCGCCGCAGACACTCACCCTCCCCACAGCTCAAGGTCTCGACTAAGGAGCATTGATGACTCAGGAGGCTAGAGGTCTAGGAACCCCAGTCCCTCCCAACTAGCTGGCAGCCTCCATCCACTCAACTGCCCTCAGTTTCCACATTAGCATTCGTAGCTGGAGCAACCCTGCTATTTCCACAACCATTTGCGCGAGGCAGCATCTGGTAGAAACCTATCACTCCCAGCTCTATTGCAAAATTCAACTAAATCCGACCCTCAGCTCTATGCAGTGCTGTTTTCCAGAGCTGCCCAAGGGAGAGAGACCTCTCCAACCCTCGTAGTCTGCACACGGGGATTTGCTGCACTCTGAGAAACAGAGACCCTCTATTCAGCTGTTCTTTCTCAAGCCTTCTCTTCTTTGCAAGAGGGATCGCTGAGAGACGGAGATGACCATATGGTCCTCCTTGCCTTGTTCTATAACCACAAGGTCTTCTCTCCTGGCCCCATTTCTCCACCTCCAGTTCAGCCTGCCTGAAGTACCAATTTTACTGATTTTTCCCCCCTGAAGAACCATTATTATACACATGACATTAACACGATTATTTAAGGTAAACCATGACTTTGAAGAAACTGAGATCTATTCTATTTTGGCTCAGAATTGGGGCACTAGGCCCTCTGAGCCTTAGGGGGACCTGAGAAGACCGAGAGGGGAGGCTCCCTCCTGGTCCTAGACCGGTGATGCAGCGGGTGTCGAGCCTTTGACAAGAAGCAAGACCTCTTTTAGCCTGCCCACCCCCTCTCTCCTCCAATTGAAGCTTGCATCCGGACACAGCGTAGGGCGAGCGACCAACCGCAGCGCGGTGCGGCGGCGCCGAAGAGGAGATGGATTAGATGATTGAATTGGGTCACAGACAAATAAATATTACAACCCTTAATAAGCAAAACTAAGGTATTTGACCCAAGCACACAAGTCCGTCTGTCCCTCCTTCCCTCCCTCCCTTCTCTTCATCCAAAGACGCGATCTACTCCATTTTAGATGGGGCGCAAAAGTGAATGAGACCAAACAGGAGACCTGCCTTCATGGAGCTTACGTTCTGGGAAACACTTTAAACAATAAACAGTGTATTTTCGGAGAGTTACTTTGTAAAAGCAAAGTGATGGGTAAGAGTGAAGTGTGAATCGGAAGAGAAGACTAGAGTGGTCCTAGAGCCCAACTGATGAGAAGGGATGAGCCACTGGAGGCAGAGACACTCTCAAGTTTGCGAAAACCGAAGACCAGGGCAGGAACGCATGTGGCGGGTTAGAGAACAGAAAGGCGGGTACTGGGCGCGGACACCAGGAGATCAGAGGGGGGCGGGGGGGAGGCAAAGGCCAGATAACGTACCAGCTTGTGGGCCAAAGGCAGGATGTTAGGTTGAATCGTGGATTTTGTTGGAGAAACTTTAGGAAGCCATTAGCAGGTTTGGGAGACGGAACCTGGGGAGAAAGATGACAGGGCTGGAACCGAAGGTTTCTATGCTGCCCAGCCGCTCCGGAGCCTCGGGCGCTCTCTGCTTAACGTGTGTTTGCTGAGTAGCCTGCAGACACGCGAAGAGCGAGGCGGTATTTTCACGCCCCGCGCCAGGCGCTGTGTGCGGCATGACCGCCCCATGCGCTATTTCCTGCCGAGGGCCTGCGGGGAGGCGGAGCGGCCGCGCTCTCTGCCCTCGCTCGGCGGGCCCGGGCCGAGGCTGCTGGCGAGCCCGAGCAGCCAGCCGCGCAGTGGACGCGCTGCGGCATCAGCGAGGATGGGGAGTGCACCTGCCGGCAGGGGCCAGCCTTGATGGACAGCCCCTGTGCTGAGGGCTGGATATTGAGGGGAGGGGTACGTGCCAGGGAAGCCATTTGAGAATCTTGTCCATAAATGTCTGAACACCAAGCGGGAGATTACAAGAGAGGAGGGAGGGATCTGTCGCACATCCTTGACTTCTGGTTTGTAATGTCTTTTTTTCTTTCTGCAGACAGCTGGACTTAAAGAAGCATCATTGAGATATAAGGACACTTCAATATTACGTTCATCTTCAACCAACCACCCCACCCAACTCTTCCCTGCTTTCTTAGTTACCATATATCAAGTAGCACTTTTTAAATCTGCCTTCCCCTTCCCCTTCATCTTCAACCAACCACCCCACCCAACTCTTCCCTGCTTTCTTAGTTACCATATATCAAGTAGCGCTTTTTAAATCTGCTTTGCCCTTCCCCTAAATTTCCATTTGTATTTCCATTTATACATCTCTATAAAAGATGAACAAGCAACACTGTTTCTGCCTTTTTTTTTCTTTTTTAAATTGGGTTCGAGTTTTCTGGAGCAAGCTCTTAGGCCCTGAAAACACATGTATGCGGGCACTTCCTGTTTCCAGCCTGGTACCTCAAAGGGCACTGTTGTTTTTACAAATACGTAGTGAACTAACGATACAAAACTTAAATGGGTTACATGGCCTTTCCTGTGTCAAAATGACATTGAGCGGCAGTGCCAAATCTCACTTTTTAAAGTGTTCTTTTGTTTACTTATTTATTCAGTCCACATTTACTGAGTACCTATTACGGTATCTTGCCATGGGTATGGGATGTGGAGACAGACATCAGCTAATGAACACACAAACGCATGACTAGAAACTTTAATGCCAATTTCACTGACTAGAAGGTAGTATTGTTTCCAAAAGATAAACATGCATTCCAGTAAGAGTATGTAGCATGAATTCTAAGACATCCGAATTTCAGATAAAATGTCAAAAGCTGGGTCTTAAAATCAATAAAATGGGGTAAAAGGTGATGAACAGAAACTCCAAGGAGACCTCAGATTGACAGACTCACAGTTGGCCTTCCATTACTTGTCTGGCTGCAGGAGCTAAGCCCCTCAAGGTTTGGGGTATTCTGCCCAAATCTTCAAAGCAAGCATGTGACTGAGCCAGCAAAGTGTGGTCCACAACCACACAGCTGGCTCTGCAGTCTGCTGAGGGCCTGACTAAGCTGCCCCCAACCATGCCCTGAGCAGCTTTATGAAACTCCCCAGGGTACAGTGGTTCCAGAGGGCTGTGAAGTAGCTACTGACTGACACTCAAACCAAAAGCAGCTCCAGGCGGAAGGAGGAATGTGACTCCAACTTCAGCAGAGGCCAGGAGGCCACGCTGCCTCCTTTGCAGTCGGGGTCTCATACCTTCATTACTTATTTTTTTGAGGTGCAATTCATATAACAAAATCAATAATTTTATATTATTTTAATGTTTATTTAGAGAGTGTGCACAGAAGAGAGAAGAGAGAGAGGTGCAGAGAGAGAGAGATAGAGAGAATCCCAAACAGGCTCCACGATGAGCATGGGGCTCCACATGGAGCTGGATCCCACTACCTGGAGATCAGGACCTGAGCTGATATCAAGAGTTGGATGTTCAAATGACTAAGCCATCTAGACGCCCCAAACTTAACAATTTTAAACTGTACAATTTGGTTGCATTTAGTAAACTCACAATGTTGTGCAGCCATCTCCACTTATCTAGTTCAAAAAACATATCCATCACCTCCAAAGGAGACCCTATATCTACTAGGCATACTCATTAAATCCTCCCTGTCTCCAGGCCCTGGCAACCACTAATTTCCTTTTATCTATGGATTTACCTATTCTGGACATTTCATATAAGTGGAAGCATACAAAATGTTGCACTGTTCATCCATGTTGTAGCACATACCACTACTTCATTCCTTTTTATGGCTGAATAGTATCCCACATCTTATGCCATCTCATAATGAATGGTTGGGTTGTTTCCACCTTTTAGCTATTGCAAACAGTGCTATGTTCATATATAAGTGTTTGTTCAAATACTTGTTTTCAGTTATTTTGGGTATATATCTAGGAGTGGAATTATTGGATCATATAATTCTATGTTTAACTTTTTTAAAAATTTTTAAACGTTTTATTTCTGAGAGAGAGAGAGAGAGAGAGAGAGAGAGAGAGAGATACAGAATCTGAAGCAGGCTCCAGGCTCTGAGCTAGCTGTCAGCACAGAGCCCGATGCGGGGCTCAAACCCATGAACCGGGAGATCATGACCTGAGCTGAAGTCGGAGGCTTAACTGACTAAGCCAGGCAGGTGCCCCTATGTTTAACTTTTTGAGGAATTGCCAAACTGTTTCCCACAGTAGCTGCACCATTAAACATTCTCACAACAAAATACAACAGTTCAATATCTCCATATCTTCAATAACACTTTTTATTTTGGGGTTTTTTTTTTAGAAGCCATCTAGTGGGTATGAAGTGGTATCTAATTGTAGATTTCATTTGCATTTCCTTAATGACTACAGATGTGTTTATTGGTCATTTGCATATTTTCTTAGGAGAAATGTCTTTTCAAGTCCTTTGCCTATTTTTAAGTTGATTTTTTAAATTTTTGTTAAGTTCCAGGAGGTCTTTGTATATTATGGATACTAGACCTTTATCATATATATCATTTACAAATATTTTCTTATTGTGTGCTGTCATTTTCACTTTCTTGTGTCTTTTGATGCATAAAAGACTTTAATTTTGATTAAGTGTAATCAATCTTGTTTTTCTTTTGTTATGCTTTTAGTGCCATATCTAGGAATCCATGGACAAATCTAAGGTCCTAAAGATTTACCTCTCTGTTTTCTTCTATGACTTTTACAGCTTCATATCTTGCACTTAGGTCTTTGATCCATTTTTGTTTTTTGTTTTCTTGTTGGCTTTTTTTTTTGCACATAGTATAAGGTAGGGCTCTAACTTCATTCTTTTTCATGTGGATATCCAATTGCCCTAGCATCATTTGTTAAAGAGGCTACTCTTAATAATTGGATGATCTGGGATCCTTGTAAAAAATCAGTTGACTATAGAGATATTTATTTGTAGATTCTCAATTCTAGTCCATTGAGATATACATCTATCTTTATGTCAGTTCTACACTATTTTGGTTACTATACCTTTGTAGTTACTATGTTTCAAAATTAGAAGTGTGAGTACTCTTTGTTCTTTTTCAAAATTATTTTAACCTGTTTTATGCCTGTGTCTGGGGTCCCTTGCAGCTCCATATACATTTATGGATCAGCATTTCCATTTCTACCAAAAAGAAAAAAAAAAGTAAATAAAAGGCCACTGGAATTTTCATGGGGCCTGCATTGCCTATGTAGGTCATTTTGGGTCCTACTGCCACCTTGAGAATATTAAGTCTTCTAATTCATGAACACAGGATGTCTTTCCATTCACTTAGTCTTTAACTACAGGAATTTTTAAAAATTTTCCAGTGCACAAGTACTGCATGTATTTGGTTAAATTCAGTCCTATTTTATTCTTTTTGATTCTACAGAAAACCTAACTGTTCTCTTAATTTTTTGGATTGTTTATTGCTAGTGTATAGAAATACAAGTGATTTTGAGGGACCTGGGTGGCTCAGTCGGTTAACTATCCAACTTCGGCTCAGGTCATGATCTCACAGTTTGAGTTCAAGCCCACATTGGGCTCTGTGCTGACAGCTCAGAGCCTGGAGCCTACTTCAGATTCTGTGTCTCTCTCGCTCTCTGCCACTACCCCATTTGTGTTCTGTCTCTCTATCTCTCAAAAATAAATAAATGTAAAAACTACATATTAAAAAAAAGAAATATAAGTGATTTTGGTATATTGGTCCTTTATCCTGCAGCTTCACTAAATTTATTAGCCTTAATATAAATAAACTAAAAATCTCCAGGATTTTCTATATATAATAAGATCATATCACCTGTAAAGAGGAATAGTTTTACTTGTTTCTTTCCAGTTTGGATGCTTCATTCCTTTTTTTTTTTTCTTTCCCCTTGGCTAATTGCCCAGGTTAAACTTTTCAGGACAATGTTGCTTATACCACTTTGAATAGAAGCAGCAGAAGCAGGCATTCTTTTCTTGTGCCTGATATTAGGAGGAAATATTTCAGTCTCTCACCATTATGATTATGATGTTAGTGGTAATTTTTTCATAAGTGCCTTTAATTGAAGACTGAAGAAGTTCTGTTCATTCCTACTTTGTTGAATGTTTTATCATGAAACAGTGCTTGATTTTGTCAAATTCTTTTCCTGCATCAACATGATTGTATGTTTTTCCTTCATCCTATTAATATATGTTACACTGATCCATTTTTGTATGTCAAAACTCTTGCATTCCTGGGATAAATGTCACTTGATCACGGTCTGCTGGGTTTGGTTTGCAAAGACCTTGTTGAGGATTTTTTTTTTCATCTTTAATTTCTTGTAATGTCTTTGCCTGGTTTTGGCAACAGGATTACACGTTGGCTCCATCAAATGAGTTAGGAAGTGTTCACTATTCTAAGAAGAGAGAAAGATTGGTGTTAATTGTTCTTTAGACATTTGATACAATTCACTAGTGAAACCATCTGGTCCTGGGCTTTTCTTTGTCAGGAGGTTTTTGACAACTGATTCAATTTCTTTACTTGCTGTAAGTCTAATTACATTTTCTTTTTTTCCCCCTCGAGTCAGTTTTCATAGTTTATGTGTTTCTAGGGAATTTTCTATTAGGCTTGTCAGCATACATTATACACAGTTTTCTCTTATAATTCCTTTTATTCCTTTAATGTCGCTAGTGATGTCCCCATTGTGCTGTGTTTAAGTCATCTTTTTCTTGATCAAGAGTTCACTTGGTTGCTGTAAACCTGTGACTACCTTCCAGCGTCCCACAAAGTCAATTCTGACGCATATCTTTTTTGGTGTTTCTGTTTAGGGATGGGCTCTTCCTATCCTGCTATTTGCACCAATGCACTTCTACTTTTTGTTTTCTATTAGAGTAGAGGGCCAACTGCCTCTGAAACGCGAACTTCCTTCCCCAGTACATCTCGCCTGACTGGGAATCGGTTCCCCACTGCAGGCCTTCCCACCATCTGGATATCTGTCGTCCACCATTTCTTTGAACCTCTCTAGCCCTAACACTAAGGCTCGCTGCTCCAAATGTTTTCCGCTCTCCCTCCCCCTCATGCTCCGAAACCGCACCACCCATCCCCCCCCACTCCCCCCCCCATTATAGGAGCTCGCTCTTCTCCTTTGCTTAGTCTCCAGCGCGCGCACGCACACGCACACACACGTCACTCTCTTACCCTTAGCCAGCAGGTTCCGCTGTGGTGAGGACGCCTCAGACACAGCACTGGCGCCAACTCGGAGGCCCCAGGGCCCCTGGCCAGACGGCGTTTCCCTCCGGCGCTCTGTCGAGCCCCGGGCTCGCGGAGGCTCCACGTGCGCGTCTCCCCCCACGCCGAGCGCGCGCACGCCTGCCCGCCAGCGCCTTCGCGGAGGGATCTGGGAGTGAAGCGCCGCGCCGGGCGCGGGTCGCACAGGTGCTGCAGCGAGAGGCTTGCCGGCTTTCAGTGGTTTGAAAAAGTAAGGGAGAAAGAGAAAAGGGAGGGTGCGAGAAAGGGAGCGGAAGAAGACAGAGGGAGGGGTATTATCTAGACGGTCGGAGCGCGGTGACGGTGTGGGACGGTCCCTCACCTCCGCGACTGGGGTTTTCCCTTGGTAACGGATCAAACGACCGAGTCCATCAGCCATGGGCGGTGTGGGAGTGAGGGGTAGGGAATAACGATAAAAAATAGAAAAGGCACTGCTAGACTGCAGCATTTTCAAGGTTGGGTTGGCGCCCAGCCCAGGTCTCTGCGAATTGGGAACCAGGAAAGCGGTAGTGGACGCTGCCGCGTCTCGAGACGGAAAGCAGCCGGGAGCTCTCTCTGGGCCGCACGCACCCCAGCGCGGGCCGTCGGGAAGGGCTGGCACCCCACCTCTTGCACCGTCTGTCTGGCCTCGCGTATGTGATTTAAGCAGTAACATTCAAGTAATAAGCAATAAGCATATATATTACTAAATGAATGTTATTATGGCCTCACTTTTTCCGGAGTTGAGCTTTTTCTTTGAATTGTCTTGAAACGATTTAGTAGTTTTCTGAATTCTCAAGTGTTTGTTAATCAAATAGTGGACATAATACTTTGGTGTTGCCGCAGCCCTATCTGCAGATAATTTGGTCTTAGAGACCTATTTCTCTCGAGAGAGACCGCAGCCAAGGAACAAGACTGAGAAAGTCACTCTTAAGTTTTCTGTCTACGGACTACTCTGAGATTAAGTTATCTTTCAAGTATTTCTGAACATTTTGACAATAAGCCCCTAACATTTGTCTCCATTTAGATGGATAATGTAGCTGCCCCAGATCCTACTTGCACTCTTTTTTACTGGAAAAATGTATGGGAGATCTGAGGAGGAGGTAAAGCGGGGAGTTCTAACTGTAGGTAATCTTCCCATTCCGTAATTAATTCAGTAAATAATCACTGAGCACTTCTTGTATGCCAGGCACTGTGCTAGGCAATAGAAGTAAAGGGCTCATCATTCCCAAAATAAAATAACAAAACAGGAGGTAGTGTTGGTCTTCATAAATCTTACCTTGTTTTGTTCTAGTTCTCTCCTAAGAGAGTCCTTCTTTTCCATGGAGGGGGGAAAATTATTAAGAGACTAAAACCATACCTGTTCCCCAACCAAGTCGATCTTTCTTGATTTGGTAAAGATCACCAAAAATATTTTTCAATAAGAACGAATCAGCCTATTAGTCTACCTAGAAGAAGCTAGTGAGTATTTTTTCTTTATTGGAGGTGAGGAGGGAGAAAGGGAGAGAAATAGTGTCCCTCTTATAAATCATTTAATGGAATCATTTTTGTTGTCAGTGGCTCACATGTGAAAACTGTTGCTACAGATGAGATTTTAAATTAGCAACCTGGGAAGTAAATCCCGAGTCCTTCTACCTACCAGCTTCTAAAGTAACGAAGTCTGATAAATTGCTGCCTGATTTTAAAGCTAGTTTAACATGTAAAAAATTTTATTAGCTGCCATACTCTTAAGCTTTAGAAGGAGCAGCAAGGCAAAATAGGTTTGGTTTTACAAATCAAGGAATCTCTATAGATAGGAAGCTGAGAAAATGACTTTGCATAAAGCTAAACAATAATCAAATAAAATGTTTCCCTAAGGACCCTTGAGATGAGATTGATAAAAGGAGGGAAGAGGGAAATGGGGAGAAATGTATCTCTTTTTGCCAAAACAGAGTACCTCAAGTAAATAGCTTAGAAAGGGACAGTTGTTCATGGGGTCCACCATACAACCAAAGATACCATCAGAAAGTGAGCCAGGATTGTGAAGGGCCATTCAGCTCCAAAGCAGAGTTGTCTTTTATATGGAAGAGCAGAGTTAATAATTTCCACCCTATATGAAGTAGATCAATCTTGTAGAAACCAGAAGAGAAGGGAATTGATTTCACAGTTTCAGTTAGAAGATAGTACTGTTATAGGAAACCAACCCCTGAGCAAGGCTAAAAATCCTAAATTTCAGTAACTGGTATATGTAAATAAGATCAATTTTCCTTTTTCTTTTTCTTTCTTTTCATCCTGTACAAAGTATTTCCATAATGTTGAAAAGGATGTGGATAAGTAGTGCAAGGGAGTAAAATTATGTAACATCCACAGAGAAAAATTAGCAATATTGATGAAAAATACAAAGGGATATCTCTTTGAGTAATTCCACCTCTAGAAATGACTCTGCAGGTATATTTGCACATGTGCAGAATGGCCCATGTGTAAGAACAGTAACTGTAGTTTTGTAATGACAAAAGATATCAGACTTTTCCAATGGTCATAAATGGAGAAGGAGCAATTAAATTTTGAGGCTTCCCTAAAATTAGTAACATATAGCTAGTAAACAGAATTCAGCAAATTTAGCAAAAATGTAGTGATTTTCAAGATACATTGTTGAGGAAACAGAGTGGCACCGGATAATGTGTGTAAAATAATGCAACTTAAATGTTGAAGTATTTGTATATACATAGAATATTTCTGGAAAGACATGCAAAATGTTGTTGACTGTTGCCTCCGGGGAAGGACGTAAGTATCTGGGGGTATGTGAAGGGATATTTATTTTGTACAGAACACAATTTGCTACCAGTTTTAAAAACAAGTGTTTGAACCGTCTAATACAAATAAATAACTAATAAAATAAGCCAAGCACTGGTAGCAGGAGGTTTTCTTAGAACTGACCACATTCCATTTTGTAAGAATTCGGCAACTGTCAAAATCGCATTAACAGAAAGAGAAAAAAGAAAACATCAGGGTAAGTAATTCAGTTAGGCCTTAGCTAAGCCTTAGTTTCCTGATTTGTAAAATGGGTACAAGGGTGACTATTTTGCAGAGTTGTTGTTTGGATTAGACATTAATGATATAAATTAAAGCAGTAGTGTACACACACACACACACACACACACACACACACACACTTCTCTGACTCAGGCCTTCAGTTTCCCCAGTGTAATTCCCAGAGAAAGATCAGGCTGGGCCTGAAGCAGGAAGAATTTATTTTCTCATCAGCACAGAATTTAGCATTAGTAGTAAGTCCCATCCCCTTGGATTTCATTTATTAAATGGGAAAATGGGTCACTGATACCATGATATACAATACAAAACTCTGTGCTTTAAACAGTATTATGCAGTTTATACCTAAGTGGATTTGCATTCAAATAATATAGACCAAAACTAGTAATTTCCTTTACTGCTACTCTTCTTCCCAGAGGTTAACTGCCGATATCATCCTAAAGGTGAGGCAGAGCCTTTATGACTTATGGCTTTGTTTGGTGCATGTTGCCTCCCCCGCCAATAGCATCATAAAGCATACATTCAACTGGCTAAAATATCAATATGTCTTGGAGACTTTTCGTAGGTCAGAAAGATTTTTTTCTATTCTTTTAAACTGCTGCAGGTAGCCTAGTATATGGATTAATGTGCCATTTATTTAATCATTCCCCTATAGGTGGACATTTAAGCTGTTTTCAATTTTCACTAGTACAGTATGCCCTTAGAACATAGTTATACATTTATCTGTTTCGTATATTCAAACCCATATTCTTTCTTTCTTTTTTTTCCTCTGAGGCTATTATTCCTCTGTTATACACATTATGAATGTTGTCTACCAACTTGTTACTTGTATTATTACTTTGTATCTGGTATTATTCAACCTACAGAATTTAAATTTTTTGATGGAAACAAATGTACTAACAACCCTTTTAAAAAGATGTCTTGCTTACAACTTTGTTTTCTTGTTTAAGGTATTTTACACACCCAAGGATATATGCACAGATTTTCCTATATATTCAGTTATTATTGACACTTACATATTTTATCAACCTGGAATTTATTTTCAGCATATGTCAGGTTGTAGTAGGCAGTATAATGCTCCTCCCAACAAGATGTCCATGTCCCAGTCTCTGAAACCTGTGAATATGTTAGGATATGAGGCAAAATAAAATTAAGGTTGGAGATGGAATTAAGGTTGGCAGTCAGCAGACCTTGAGATGAGGTATTAGTTTCCTATTGCTGCTATGACAAGTCACCATAAATTTAGTAACTTAAAACGCCACAAATTTATCCTTTTACAATTTTGAAAGTCAGAAGGCCAAATGAAGTAAGTTTCAGTGGGCTGGAGTGAAAATGTAGGGCTGATTCTTTCTGGAGGCTCTGAGGGGAAAGTCCTATACCTTGCTTTTTTTCATCTTGCAGTGGCCACTTGTATTCCTTGACTTGTAGCCCCCTCTTCTACCCTCAAAGGCTGTCTCTCTAATCTCTGCCTCCATCATCATATGACCTTCATCTTCCCGTTGTCAAATCTCTGTCATTTTCTCTTCTAAGAACACTTGTGATTGTATTTAGAGCTTACCCAGATAATCCAGGATAATGTCCTCATTTCAAGATCCTTAATTACATATGCAAAGTCCCTTTTTCCATATAAAGTAACCATCATAGGTTCCAGAAATTCAGGCCCAGATATTTAGGGGGACATTATTCAGTCTGCCATTTATAGAGTGATTATTTTGGATTATCCAGATGGGCCCAATGTATCATAATTCTTATAAATAAAAGAGTGAGGCAGAACAAAGAGAACCTGAGAGATGGCATTGTGAAAAAGACGCAGCTTAATGTTGCTGGCTTTCAAGAGGAGGATGTAATAAACCAAGGAATGTGGGTGACCTCTAGAGAGTGGAAAAGGCAAGAAACAAATTATCCCCTAGAGCCTCAAAAGGGAACATAGCCATGTTAACACACTAATTCTAACCCAGTGAGACCCATCTTAGAATTTAAAAAAAAAAAAAAAAAAAACACTTTAATTTTAGAACATTTAACATAAGATTTATCCTCGTAACAAAATTTTAACTATACAATATTGTTGGCTATAGATAGAATGCTGTGCAGCAGATCTCTAGAACTTATTTATCTTGCTTAACTGACACTTTATGGATGTTGATTAATAATTCACATTTTCAGGGTGCTTGGGTAGCTTGGTTGGGTGTCCGACTTTGGCTCAGGTCATTATCTCACGGCTCTTGAGTTTGAGCCCTATACCAGGCTCTGTGCTAACAGTTCCTCAGAGCCTGGAGCCTGCTTTGGATTCTGTGTCTCCCCCTGCCTCCCCAACTCATGTTCTCTACTCTCTGTCTCTCAAAAATGAATAAACATTAAAAACTTTTTAAATAATAATTCACATTTTCTCCTTTCTCTAGCCCCTGGAAACCACAGTTAAATATTTTGATTCTATGAATTTGACTTTTTTAGATATCTCATGTGAGTCAAATCATGCAGTTTTTGTCTTTCTGTGACTGGTTTATTCCACTTAGCATGTCTTCAGGGTTCATGCATGTTGTTGCATATGGCAGAATTTCCTTCTTTTCCACTGTATGTGTATACCACAGTTTCTTTATTCATCTGTTGATGAACATTTATGTTATTTTCACATCTTGACAATTGTGAATGGTGGTGCAATGAACATGGGAATGCTAATATTCTCTTTCAATTCTTTTGGATAAATATCCAAAAGCGGGATTGCAGGATCTTATTTTTATTTAAAATTTAAACTCCATTCTGTTTACTGTAGTGGTTACACCATTTTGCTTCCTACCAACAGTGCACAAGGATTCCAGTTTCTCTGTATCCTCACCCACAATTGTAGGTTTTTTGTTTTTATATTAGCCATCCTGAAAAATGTGAAGTGATATTTTATTGTTTTGATTTGCATTCCCTAATAATTAGTGATGTTGGGGCATTTTTCAATACCTGATAGCCTTATTTCTTTTAGAGAAATGTCTGTTCAACTCCTTCATTTTTTTAAATGTTTATTTTGAGGGAGAGAGAGACAGAGCATGAGCAGTGGAGGGGCAGAGAGAGAGGGAGACACAGAGCCGAAGCAGGCTCCAGGCTCTGA